ATTAGAAGCGGCCGTACCCTCTGAGTAGGGTTTGCATCTTCCGCCATTCTGGTGCGGATCGAGAGGGAAGCAGGGAGATCGAGAGGGAAGCAGGGAGATGACGGTGCAAAGGGGACCGCCGGGACTGGGGATGCAGTGGCGAGGACAGACGCTGAAGAAGAAGAAGAAGAAGAAGAGACAACCGAGTCGATGGAAAACCACTTTGGTGCGTCAACAATCATAGCGATGGTCCGACCTCCCCTCGAACCACCGCCTGGGGTTGTACAAGGTGCTAGGGTTCAAGAAACTTATTTTGTTTGTTTAGTTTTCTTCATGTTTCGTTTTAAATTGGATCTTTACTCTGTTTTGATTGTGTCGTGTTTTTCCAGCAAAAGAACTATAGACTTTAGGACAGGTGATAGGGAGCCTAGTTTGCCAGTCATTGGCTCAGGTAAGCCCAATTTAGGATCAGCGAATCTGATTGCTTCTTTTGGCGGTGGCAGGTTCTAAGTCTGGTTCAAGGGCGGGCGGTAGACAATGAGCTCTTTGTCTGGTTGTATCCTGCTTATGTTCTTTCTTATTAATATAAGCCATCTTTTTCCAAAAAAAAAAAAAATAACATTCTAAACGTTCATTGAAAATAAATAATGTAACCCCCAGTCTATATAATTAAGGGAAAATGGAAACTAATAATCCAACCTTTTAGCAGTGTTCTTACAATAGTCCCACCTTTTCGTTATTCAAGAATAATCCAACCTTTGCACCCCATCTTCATTCGCTGGTCCCTGACCAGTTAATGACCTGCTATTCCAAGTTATTTTCATATCTTTGCAAAATATTATCTTTGTGAAAGGTGAGATTTATGGTATAGTGGTTTGCAAAGATAAGAAAATAACTTGGAATAGCAGGTCATCAACCGATTAGGGACCAGTGAATGAAGATGAGGTGCAAAAGTTGGATTATTCATGAATAATGAAAAGGTGGGACTATTGTAAGAAGACCACTAAAAGGTTGAATTATTAGTTTCCATTTTATCTATAATTAATAGCAACACTTTTAATAGAATTTTAAATTATGCAATTAACCCCATTAATTTACGTTTTTGAAAGAAAAACATATGACAATGATGCGAAAATAACTATTTATATAAAGTTTAGAATATTTAAATTACATATGCAAGTGCTTAGTTTCACGGTTTCAAAGTTTACAGTACTCTATTATTGTTGTTGTTGTTGTTGTTGTTGTTGTTGTTGTTGTTGTTGTTGTTGTTGTTGCTGCTCTTATTATTATTCACAAATCTCAAGTACACAGTTTTTAATTCGTGCCGGTCAAACTTGTGAAAATTGTAAGGTACTAATGAAAACTTTAATGTAGATGTAGGGCTGAGCAAAACCCGAACCGACCCGCAAAACCCGAAGTTTTTCGGATAATATCCGAACCGAAATGGATATCCGACCCGAAAAACCCGAAACCGAAAATCCGATTAGTATTGGGCCTAGATCGGGTGGCGGGTAGGGTTTGTAAAATCCCAACCCGACCCGCCCGAATATCCGAAATATATTAGTGTGTACTTTGAATATGTTAAATTAATACTTGTGTTCAATTATTTGTGTAATTATTTGTGCAATTTGTGTTAAATTATTTTTGTAATTTGGGTGTGTAGCGCACTAGTGTGTACAATTTTTGTCAAAGTGACATTCCAACACTTCAATTATCCAATTATAATGTGTTTTAATATAACCGAAATATTCGAAATATATTAAATTATGTAGTGTGTACTTTGAATATATTAAATTAATACTTGTGTTCAATTATTTGTGTAATTATTTATGCAATTTGTATTAAATTATTTGCGTGATTTGAATGTTTAGTGCACTAGTTTGTAGAATTTTTGTCAAAGAGGCATTCAAACACTTTAATTATCCAATTATAATTTTTTTTAATATAACCAAAATATCTGAAACCCAATCTGATATCCGATAATATCTGACTTACAAATATCTGAAAAACCCGATTTGAAATATCAAAAGGGCCGGACCTAGTATTTAACTTAAAAAACTCGAACGGGTTTAGGGTATGCAGACCCGACCCGCCTGAACCCGACCCGTGCTTAGCCCTATGCAGATGTGTTCATGGTTATTGAAATGATTTAGGGATAAGATTAACATCTACTCCAAATATACATTTTGTTTTGTCACACCCAACCCAACTACTCCGTATATAAAACATCATTGAATAGCACTTCCCGTGGGATTTGACGTATATCTGTTTCGGCCCATCACCCCCACAAACTCTCTATACAGACCAAAGAGCCGTCACTTCTCCTTCAAAGCTTCAGCCACCCCTCATATACATACACACTCCGTTCCTACACGCCTGACGAACCCTGGACCTCTAAAATAATATCCCTAGAGAGAGAAAGCGATTGGGCTCAAAACACTTTGCGGGGGGAGGGAGCAAAAGCAGGGCAAAGCTTTATGTTGGTGGACCCCAGCTCGTCCTGCCGCCACGGCCATGTCATCACCATATCCCGCCGGACGGCGATGGACGGCCCCCGCCGCCGTGTGGGCGGCTGCTTTTGTTATTGCGCTGATCGTCATCCCGGCTCCTCACGGCCGTAGCCGGGCGGTGGCAATACGGATATTTCCGCCAACTCCAGTGGCAGAAACGGAGCTTAGTCGGGCATATTTGAGGAATTCGAGATCTGTTCCTTCTCAAGGGCTGAGAGATGCCGGCAATGCGACGACGTCGTTTTCGGAGAGCGTAAGAAGAGTTCCTAGTTGTCCAGATCCTCTTCACAACTAGTTGGGGGCAATTATTGTTAGCTGTCTTTTTTTCTCCATTTTTTGGGTTATTATTCTCAGTTTCATTATTTAGTTTATTAGCTTATGCTTCATTTTGTCCAAAATACCCACGTTTTTCTCGTAACTATCTGGTCATTTCTTTTAAAGAAATGATCTTTTTGCTGTTTTTGGTTAGTTAGTGTTATTAAAAGAGTAAACCGTGGGTATTTTGGTACTATTGAAAAAGCGTTCTTGTTATTTTTTGTTTATTCGAAATGAAGAAAGCGGGCTGTTATGACTAAATACATTATCTTCCTTTTACATAAACATTGTCACATTGTTTTATAGCTCGGTAATCGGTATATCTTTTAGATGCATAAGACTCTTTATGTTTGTTAAAGTTAGTAGAAAATCCCTTCTTATGTTTGTTAATGTGAGAAGAAATCAAACTATTACTTTTTTATCCTCAGATTTAAGAGTATGTAGTGTGCAACGATTATTTCGTTTAGACACAATGAAATATTGTCATTTTTAACAAAAGGGAATGCATAATTATTTTCCGTAAACATTACCATAAATTAGACTAAATGTAGGATGTTTTTTTTGGAATGAAATTTGTTGGTCTAATCTGGTTTGGTCTGAACTAGTCTGGTCTGGTAAACGTCTAATCTTTGTGTATTTTATAACTACGTAAGTCATGTCTGGTCTTGGACTGAAAACCGTCCAAAACAAAACATGCGTAGTCTAGGAATACATTATTTTTGGATTTTTGCGTTTCTATGTAGTTGTTGAATGTCACTATAAAATGTAGACTAAAGTGTACTGCGTACTAAATGAGTTTATCTTAGTCTTAATTCTAGAGTTTATTATGAAGTCAATGTTTCCTACAGAGATCAACAAGAGTTCGCATCTTTTCATGACCAAATTTGTGGTACCCATCTGCCACGTTTATAGGATTGATGAATAGTTGAATGATGATCTGATGATTCATTCGATGAGTAATTAATATAGGGAGTAATTTGGATACGGAGTATACATTTATTTAAAAGTAATTATGAAGCTGTACCAATCATAAGCACCGGCATATTAATGACACATGGTATGAACAGCATAGAAACTTCAATTCACGCGACAAAGAGGTGTGCAACACTCTTGGCTCTTTTTGAGAAGAAAATTATGTGTCCATTTTTTATACGTATATACGTTTGTGAACAATTTATTTTAGGTGACTAGCTTGTAGTGGTGGATAAAAAAATTTTGTGTACAAAAAACAATGTTGTAAAAACTCTGTGCATTGAAAACAATATCAAATCTGTGTGGTAAAATTCAAATTGGTTAAGTCAATTGAATTTGCTGAAATAGGTGACATTCTTGCTAAAGTACGGATAAATTTGGACCAATTTTATTCCCAAACTACGATTTTTATAAAATAAACTTATACTGTAACACATATCTATCAGATCAGTTCATATCAAACCACACTATACCAGATTATACGTGACCAAAAGGGAATTTTGAGGATTAAAATTTCTTTCAATTAAAAAATCTTAAGAGGGATGAAGAAAGTATTATTCTACTAATTTAATACTGCGTATTTACGTAACAAACCACTAGATTTGGTTCTTAGCGTACTCTTTTGCTATGTTACAAGAATTGGATCAGATTGTTCAATCGCTTCAACCAAGAATCAGGTGAGGAGCCCAATCTGTCGGGTTTCAAGCCGCTAATATATCCAAAATATAAAACACCTGATGACCGACGCTGACCCAAACTACACCCGGAATAGGCAAAACCCTTAAAATTGTACAAATACGACGTCAAGAAGAAACCAACCCCCGATGGGATTAGAACCCTAGCCTTCAACAAGAATTCACTACTAACCAACAAGCATACTTTTGGCCTGGTTACATGTTCGGGTCTATTGGACATTGATTGGGCCGACCCTTTGGTTCCGGGATGATTCTAGGCCTGGTTACATGTTTGAATCGCCTTCTGATGCGTTTTTATGTATTATAAGTATGGTAATAAGGTTGATTTAAAAAAAATCTAAGAAATCTTGAAACTCTTTATTTTAGTTTTAGATTACTATTTTGCATTAAAAACATTAATTTTTTGCTCCAAATAGGACTAAATTGTTCCTAAAATTCCTTAATAGGAGTATGTATATTTTTATTCCCTAAATGGGACTGGATTACACATTTACCCCTACTTTATTTCTTTTTCCTGCGCACGCCACACTTCTTTCTCCGCATCTCATTATTCCTCCCCTGCGCCATCTTCTTTTCCATCTGCCGCAGATCTACGAATCCTTCTTCTCTTCTCCTTCACAAAGGAGCAGCCAGACCTAGAAGCCCAATCGATCATAGCCATCGCCATGGCCATCGCCATCGCCATAAGGAAGTCCACTGTCATCACTTGCCGCCGTAGATCGACTTGCCTTCTCCACAGGTCTGCTTCTTCTTCGGGTATTCTCCCTGTCTTTCCTCCCCTCTTCTCTAGTTCTCTCTTCCCCCTTCTATTAAGTTACAAATGCTAATTAAAACTAAAAAATGCCAGATTAAACTCCTGAAAAATGACATACAAATGGCATTTTTATTGTTCAAAAAAATTGTATTATCCTTTGAAAATGCCATTAAAATGGCATTCTCTATTTATGTTGACAATTTGATAAAAACATTGGCATTTGCATTGATAATGACTAGATCTACAACGGTGGAGGTCATATTTGCAGCGGCAGATGGCGGATTGGCTTCGACGGTGGCCAGATCTGTAGGGGCAGTGGCCGGAAGATGAGGGAGGGTAGATTTGGCCAGATCTCCGGCCGTGCCAGCCAAATCTGCAGCGGCGATAGCCAAATCTGCAACGGTGGTGGTCTGATCTGTAGTGGCGGCTAATTTTGAGGCGGCGGAGATGTCTGGCGACCGGCGGTGACCGGCGACCGACGGCGGTTCACATTATGTTTAGCGGCGGTTTTATTTCCAGACTTCACAAGGGTGTTTTTGTCAAAGTGCAAATAATAACTCCTATTTAGGAGATTTTTAAACTTTAGTCCTATTTTGTCAATTAAAGATGATATTTTTACATGAATATTATCAAAAGTCATGGGAGTTACAAGAAAGTGACTTATAGCATGGATCACGTATGAGCATCATGGGATTAAGTTAGAGCAAAAAGTCATATTTTTGTTAATGGAGTTTAAAGTAGTTATATTTGTGTAATTTTTTCATTAAAGATTGATTTACTCCTATTTAGGTAAATACCCTAAAAACATACGTACGGAGTATAGTATATAATTCCCAAAGCTTGAGCTAAAATATCATTCTTCAGTACTCCGTATAATTCCTTAACTTCTTGCGCATGTTGTGCCATTTAGATGTGTTCGATCTCTTCGAACAAAAAATATGTTACACAGACTACAAACTATAGTACGTACTCCCGTATATCTTTTCATAAGATTTTCGAGTTCCAAAGACATCAGTCCAAGGAAAGTAGAATTCATAATTATTGACTTCAAAAAAAGTTAAAAAGAATATGTAAACGACCAAATCAGATGTGTTTTCAGCGTCTTTCCAACACTTCAGCTTGACGGAAGGAAAGGACTACTGCTTCCTATCATCAGTGTCTGGAAAGATAGAAATCTCATCACATTACATGAGAATGAAGAAAAAATAATGGGTGCCTTTATAGAGATTTCAGACATCAGAATGCAGTTTTGGCATTCCTTAAAGTGAATGTAGTTTTTGACTCGGAAATAGCAATAACAAGTTCCTATTTTTTATTTAAAAATATGCAAAGGACAACAGAAGTTGAAGCTTCCCCTTTTTCCAGAACAAGAAAATCTAGATTTTGTTCACTGTCGTCACATATCGGCATGTGGATAGTACCTACTTTTGCTTTCGTTTAATCCGGAGATCTTTTCGATTGATTTGATGTATAAATGTGTAACATGACCATTTATTAAGTGTAACCATCCATAAATCTTTTAAATACGGTGTAGCAACATAGGCCTAACTCACAAGGAATATGTCTAGTATTCAACTCTAAACAATGCTTTAGGATGAAATCTCACAATCTTTTCATCATGGTGTGATCAAATTAAGTTTAACTTACATCTTCTGAGGTAGGTAACTGTTCGACCGGTAATAGAATCCTCAAAGATGGGAGTGTCATGTTTTGTTTTTAAAATTAAAGTATGCACGTTCATACTGCATAGTTGAAATGTTTACTACAATAATGTTTAATGGAGACATACGAAAGAGAAAATAAGAAGTAGAAGTAAGAATACTTGCATTTAATCTTTAAGTGAAATTAACCAAAAAATAAAAAATTAGCAAAAATTAAAATACTTCTCAAAAGAAAAATGCACTAAACATTTCAATATGAGTAAAGAGTAATATATACTCCCTCTGGTTCTTTTTTAACTTCACACTTTGACTTCACACAAATTAAAGAAATAAATTTGACTTTACTGTAGAGTACACTTTTGTGATACTGTTTGACACTGTTTGGCACTATTTTGATGTAGATTTCTTTGCCAAATAAGGAAACAAGGGAAGTGTGAAGTTTATTTTGGACCTACCCAAAAAGGAAAATGTGAATTTTATGTAGAACCGGAAGGAGTATATATATATATATATATATATATATATATATACATATATATGTGTGTATGTGTGTGTGTGTGTATGGGAGGGTTCCAGTGAGACAAGACTCCTAGGAGAGAAATGATAATGAATTTGGACCGTTGGATTGTATGATGTGAAATTGAGCTGTGCATTTGGTAAAATTGAAATGTGCATTAAGTAAAATTGAAATGTGCAGAATGAAAAGTAAAACTCAAATGTGCATTACGTGAAATTGAAATGTGCAGAATAAAAGGCTCAAAAAATGCCACCACATCATAGTTTTATTCTGCACATTTCTGTTTCACCTAGTGCACATTTCACCTTACCTTTTATGCTGCATATTTCGATTTAACGTAATGCACATTTCAGTTTCACTAAATGCACATTCAACTTCACAGATTACAATCTAACGGTCCAGATTCATTCTCATTTCTCTCCTAAGATCATTTTCCCACTTAGACCTAATTCTATATATATATATATATATATATATATATATATATATATATATTATAGTCACTTTTTATGTACGACTAACGTTAGTCTACTCTCAAAATATTGTTTGTGTAATATTCGTCTACTAAAATAAACATAGGAAATACTTTTTGCAATTCCATAGATAATATTTATGATTTTCATAGACATTATAATACATAGAAAATCTCGCTTGTATAAACAAAACTTACATCTCTTTAAACAACAACTTTGTAGTAGTATTTTTTGTGTACATGTATATTAACCCTAAGTACGTGTTGTCAACCCTAAGTAGAATACAAGAACACCTAATGTCTTACCGGTGAGCATAGTTCAACTGGTAGTGAGGGAGTGCCACAAGAGTTAGGTCCTGAGTTCGAATCCCAACAACTACGATGAGAGGTTACTATGTTAAAAATGCATAGGGTCTCTGCAAGTACCGAGGACAGAGCCTCACTCTCTATCTGTCAAATTATAGTTGTAGTTGAATTTACATCCTCCCATCGTGTTGTCCGGTCGGTGTTGGGGGCTCTCAGGAATGGGGTGTCATCCCTTTTTTTTCAAGAACGACTAATGTCCTGAATTGAAGTAAGCGAGTGTTTGGAACTACTTTGGGGGTGAAATTGTAGATATATTTTTTACTGTTCCAAATTGCTCTTAGAAACAGTTTTTTAGAAGTTGGGGAGACCGACTTCTGAAAAACTAATTCTAATTATGTTTCTCCTAAATAAAAAGCAAAGGCATTATCAATTCCAAACACTCCCCAAGTATGAATGGGAGTGAGGAAAACATTGAGGAAGGGCTGATACCAAAGGGAGAAAGTATAATAGTAATTATGGAAGGCGAATGAACAATTAAGGCATGTTTAATTTGACACAACTAGATGATAGAATATTTTAATGAGCTTTTTAGAACTTCGTCCCTAAATTATCCTCCAAAGTACATTTGACACGAACCTAATTAGCTTTTTTCCGTTTTAAATGCGTTTTAAACACGTACCATTTTTTTGACAAAAAAACACGTTTAAAAAGGGGGGGAAATGTCGGTCCGTTTAAAAAGGAAAAAAACTCCTACTTCCCGTATAAAACGTATTTTTCCCGTATTTTACAAAAAACATAAACATGAATTGACCAATTGAATGAATGCACTAAATGCATAGAAGATCAACAATAGTGTAAAAGTAAAAATGAAAACGTCCTCCCCATGATCTCGTGTTTTTGTATTGTTACAGTGCAATTATTAAATACTAAAATTAATTACATGATGGCTAAAGCTAGCATCCTGAAATATTAAAACTTACGTAGTAATATACTACAAGATTTCTTATGTTTTTTCAAGGTAGCATATCAAAATTAAGATTTTTCTAAACCTACCGTTTTTTAGCATAAACTTTTACACAAACAATAATAAGTGTAGCAATCACACAACTTTTGTCATATGTCATCTGTCATCTTAATGAAAATGATGAGTTAAACTTGAGTGTTATTTGATAATCATATAAAGATAATGATTTTTTGACATTATTTTTCAAAATTATATCTTGGACTTGATTACTGTTTTTATTTTTGTCATCGACTTATGCAATTACAAACTATTCTTATATGTAGTAATGAGATTTGCTACTTGAATATGTGTATACTTTTATTTCTTTTTTACTATATATGTTATTTTATGAAATATATCATTTCAATGTTCAAAATAATACCCGTGTTTTTCGTCCGAATTTTTGTAATAGACAACGTATTATACACGTATACGTATTTACACGTTTTTTAATTTAAAAGTCAATGTTTTTTTCAACGAATTTTTGACCGTTTTTTTCATTCATGTTACCGAATAAAACGCGTACGTATTAAACCTCGTTTAATTCCCGTACCGTATTCAACTAACTAGGGACACGAAGATTAAGATATTATGTATTGTGTGATGGAGAGTTGTACAGATGAGAGAGAAATATGTAAAAAGGTGTTATGAATCAGGGGAAATGAAAGTTCATTTTGGGACGCCCAAAAAGGAAATTAAAGTTGGAGGTTTAATCAGGAACGAATGGAGTAACTGTTAACTTTTAGTGACTGAAAAGATGTTAAAATAAAAAGGTGGTAGCTGTTTGATAATTATAATAAACTCGTTGTTTGATTTAGTTTTGTTTAACAAACAAGATGTTGAGATTGATTATTGCTCAAAACTACAAACCTTTTTCAAATGATACTCACCGTAACATCTAAAAAAATCTTTTATTTTTAAAAAAGTTCTTAAATTTTTCATGCCAAACATCCCATTGCTAGAAGTTTTTTGAAACATTTTAAATAGTACAAAAATTGGAATGTGGAAATCTGATCTTAACTCAGAACGCAGGGAGTAGACACAGATAAGGAATTAGTGCATGAGTAGAAAAGTAATTAATAAGTTTTATTTTGAAGATTTAAGGGTGTTTGAAACTGATTCTGCTTCTACTTCTTCTTTTTTAAAACACTAACAGAAGCATAATAAGAAGCAGAATCACAATCAATTTTCAGAAACAGGTATCCGGCCTCCAACTTTAAAAAAATGCTTCAAAGAGTAAATAAGTACGAAGTATATTAGAGTACCAAAAGTATTTTTGCACTGTCACTCAAACACTTCAACCTCTGCTTCTGCTCCCTGAAAGAGCAGAAACAATTGTAAGAATCAGATCCAAACACCTCCTTAAAACGTGTAATCCCACATTTGGCTCTCGATACTATTCCACTTCTATATAGGGTAATATTTTACATAAAAATGATTCATATACTTCGTTTTTGTAGTTAATCGATTTTTTTAATAGTAAACATGTCCAGATAAGTTGATTTAATTTGTGATTTGATGTTGGAGGCATTTATCTCTGTAAGGAATAAATGTAATTAGATTTTGATGATGCTAGGATATTTAGATTAGAATTATAGAGTACCCCTACTTAGTTTTTATGTATTAGAATTTTCAGTTGTAAGTATTAGTATAGTCGACGATCAGAGTTGCTCGCTTATGGAACTGATCAGAGTTGCTCTCAGCAGTTCATGAGAGTTGCTCATCTGAGTAGCATCAGAGTTCGGTGTATAGCTTCATCAGA